TTGGAACACCTGATTCCAATAATTTGGATGGGTGAGCAAATACTTTTGGCAATATAGTGTATATTTAGTGCACCTACCAACTAACCTTGGTTAAATGAAGCCAGATTTTTTCTGACAGATTGACCCACATTAAATTTTGAATTCCATACAAAAAATTAAGAGAGTTCACTTAAAAAAATCAGGGCATTCTATGCTTTTATTCTAGCGGGATGTCCCTATTGTTACTTAAGTCAGACTAGCGTTTGTTGATGCGATTAAAGTTGTGATGTTTTATATATTTTTGTTAAGCTGGTAAATATTAGAAAGCAGGAAATACAATAAACTGTTGTTTTTATTGATATAATATTTTGTGCTTTTACAATTCTCTTTTTTGATTTTCACTCAGTGTTGTATTAATAATTTCAGTCACTCACTGTCAACACTTAAAATGTCTCACTCTGCATCTGTTGAACTATATGAACTACTGACACAAAATAGCTATGAATAATTTTCTTATTGATTGTGATGCATTTATATGAATAAACGGCATCTTAAAGAGTTGTAGGGATTTCAGTTTTCATATCAGAAAAATGCATTAAAAGAATGAATTCATTCTTGCCAGAGATTATTCGGTGAGGATTTGCGTAATGTAGCGTTGTTTTCTAACCCTTTTAATTGTGTACAAAAAGTAGCAAGTTTGTTTTTGTTGCTTTGGACAGGAAATGTCTGAGGAGGGAAGGTTGAGGAAGGAAACAAAGATAAACATGCACAGAGTAAATGTTAGGATTATGTAGGTTATGTCCAAATAAACCATGTAGTGCATAAATGTCATCATGATGACACACCCATCTTAATAATTTCCTGGTTTACTTAGACTGCACATAAAGAGTAATTTGTTGTTGGAGAGAATATAAAGACGTGCAAGTCTTGAGGCTGATTCAGACTCCCGAGATCATTCACCATGGACAAACGTTTGCTGCTGGTTCTGTTGTGCCTGCAGGTCTTCCTGCTCATCACAGCCTCAGAGACGGAGACTCCAGAGGCCCCTCAGGTAATAAGTGCCACTAAGGAAAAAATAAATGCCTTTTTCATATTAATTATGCAAATTGATATCATTAGGTCTTTTGTTTTGTCTTTTTACAGGTGGAGAGAAAAGCTAATCCTCCCAAAAAAACTAAAAGTTGTAGGAGGATAAATGGCAGATGTGTCCGGCGTCCGGTGAGGCCTAATTCCTCTGTTGCATTAACTGCTTTAGATATATTTAATACATTTAGTGAAAGGTGTTTTCTGCAATGGGTCAGTTTTAACTTTAAAAGATTTTTATATTTGTGTTACAGACCCAATCAAATGAACAATCAACATCCAAACCTGATTATAGGTAATCAATCATTTTGAAACAAATATTCAGGAATGTTGATACTAATTCAAAAAGCCTAATAAACCCTTTATGGCAAAATATGTTTAATAAAAATTGTTTTTTCACAGACCTGGTGTTTTTAGTGCTATACTGAGAACCTAAAGCCAAGTGGACACAGAAGGCATCATTTATGAGTGTAAACCACATTTGAAGACTAAAAGTTTTTTTGTTTTTTTCTTGAAACTGTTGCATAGATGATTATAAAATGAAATTATGTATCTCTCTTTTCTTCCTTGCAGTTTTCTGCACTTTCTTCCTGTATATGGTGAGCTATAAGGAACTAACCGGAGGAGAGGATTTGGAATCCCAGCTTCTCTTCCTGAAAGTTGTGCATTTAATAGGAATTTCCTTTTCTGCAAAATTAAAATTCTTAATTGCATGTGCTTCTTAATAGTATGTCTTTCTACAACCTGATTTATTAACTTCCTTCAAAACATGTATTAGACTCAGTATTTGTAACAAAGAATCACATCAGTGCTCCTGTGTTGTTAATGTGGAAAGGAGGTTATTAACGAATGGGTCTAAAACCCCACCCAGGCATCCTTTAAGACATCTGATTCAGGAATACACTGTTTTGTATCAGCTTTTGTGCACATCGTTTAAAAGTATCATCAAATTAATAAAAACTTAAAAACCAATTCATTTGTGTGAGTGTAATCCGTTTTTACCTTTTGTTTTATAAGGTGTTCAGTTTTCAAATATTTTCTTTGACATTCTTAGACCTCATTAGAGTTTTTTTCAGAAAACACAAGTTGTATTTACAGAAAGACAACACATTTATTCTTATGCTTTTTGTGTTTTTCCTGCATTAGTGCATAACATTGTTTGGTGCTCAAACTGTAAACCATTTTTTTTAAACCAGACTATCTAAAAATAAAGAAAAATCTCCAATTCAAATAATTCCTATACAAAGATTTAGCAGCTAAATTATAATTACTATAAATACTTTACTATAAATTACTAAACAATGTTAGGTGTATGTAAAAAAAAATTGAGTCAAAAATCACCAAAGGAACCAAAGGAAATGCCCCTTTTCTTTGTTCTTTTTATGAGTGATTTAAAGAAACACTTGCTATATATTTTATTCTGAAAGGAATGTGACTGAGTATTCAACACCCAGAGTAGGAAGCAATGCCCACACATTTTCAGATAAAGGTTTAAAGCCTGAAGTGGCAGTATTTGGGAAAATGTTAGAGCAGAACCAAAATGGAACTAAAAAACAAGTTCAGACAGACCATTTATTATGGGATATTTAGTATATGGTTTTCAAAAAAAAGAAGTAATTCTATATTTTGCAATATAGAGCAATACAGCAATTTTCTGCAATAGGGACGCTGTTCCTTTGCCAAATCTAGATGAGGGAAAAAAACTGATCACACACAAGCTTTGGATTTTATTGAAGCAGATGTATAAACCAACATATAGTTTTTTAAAAACATATTCCTTGACCCTTATTATATTATTATATATTATAACCCAAAAGTTCAGTGTAATAAAAGAGTGCATTAGAAAATGTATATGGGCTTTATTTATTTTATTTTTTTTTTCAGATTAAATTCTGAAAGGTGTGGCATGCATTTTGTAGAAAATACTTCACAGATCCATTGTGTTTACGTCTGCAATTTCCTTTTGGAGTATTTTTCTTTGCACATTTAAAAACAGAAATAAAAAAAAAGTCAGATTGGTTAAGAAGTATTTGTTGACATGAGTTTTCAATTTTTTTTATTCTCAAGACTTTGGTCTGGATTTTCAATGGGCACTCTAACTCATATTATGCTTTCATTTAGTTGCATTGCAAATCATGTTATATGTTAAGGTTTGTTCTCCTGCTGGAAGGCGGACTTCCAGCCCAATGGCTATTGCTATCATGTTTTCCTCCTGGACCTGCGTGTTCCCAGTGAATCCCTGTCCTTCCTGAAGAAAAGCAAGTTTATGTCCCCAAAATCCTATTCATGAGCAAAGAATGAGAGGGAATTCATATATATTTATGCCCATATCTTGATTTGTGACAGAAAAATAAACCATTCTATCATTTGGCTGGTAAGGCAGTGCAGTAAGTTGCACCTAAAGGATTTTACTTGATACATGGAAGAAAAACAGCCTTAGGACTGCCCTTTATGTATGGAGTGATGCACCAGTGTTTGTGCTGTTCACCTGGTGTTGTCGTGTTCCTACATTTCTGCTTTGGACTCAATCTAAACATAAAAGGACATTAGATATAAACCTTCCAGATGAATAGTTTTAGCGGTGTGGTTTCTGTCTTCTGTCTCTTAGTCATCTTTATGTGAGTCATCATCTGCTGAGAAAGTCATGCATGTGTATTATTACCAGGGGAACATGGCTGCTGATTCTCCTTATGCGGTGAGACTTCATTTACCATGAATGACTTCTACTACTTTATTTGGTTAACGATGATAAAAATAACATCCTCCGTAACTTCTGGAGTTAGTTTATATATTCCGAGGTATGGAAGGTGTCAGAGGGTTTATGTTGAGACGTATAGAATGAAAACTGTTTTATTCCACATCTGGTCAATATTTACCCACTTTCCATAAAAACACACAAGTAAATGAAACCGCTTTATCCAAATCCTTTTTTGAGTTGTAACCTAAAACATGTTTGAATTCCTTTCTTTATTGTAGCTGTATTGTTTATCTAGAGAATAACAAAAGTGGTCAAGGCTTTGTTTGCTTTAGTCAAAAACCCTTCCTGATGCCGGATGTAATGACAGATGGATCTAGTTTAGGTTCATTCTCTCATCTGCAAATATATATATTTATTTTTGCTGTGAAACACACATTACTGTAGATTTCTTCTTGATTTCTTCTATTTTGTCTCAATTTAATATTTTAGAATATCAGTTAAATGGTACTATCAGACAAAGATAACCTAAAGGAATAAAAAAGATATTCTCCAATTCATGGAAACTTTCCTCTATGTGAAAAAGTAAATTCCCCTCTAAACCGCTTTTTTGTCTAAGGCATTTATGACAAAGAAGTATAAGTTTTCTAAATCAACCTGAAGATATTTTGTCTCTTTGAAGAACTGAGTCACATTGTAGGCTAGATATGGTCTAGTAACGTAAATAAATGCTAAATAAAATGAGCTCATGAATGGTAATTTATAGAAAGATCACAAAGCTCCATTTTTCAAAATTTTTGCTACCACTATGTTTTGTCTATAACCTTTAAATTATGTCTTCACAGCACTGTAGATCAGTGTTGTACAGTGGGGAAAAAAATTGTATCATAGCACAGAAAAATCTTAACCGTTTATTGATAGTTGACAGAGCAACATGTAGCTAACAGATGGCTTAAAGTTTAAGTTTAGATGTATTGAATCAGTCTGCTTTGTAATGATATTTACGCCTAAAAGGCTCTTAAAATGTTAAGAACTGCTGGTTTGACACGTTATTAGTGATACTTTAAATGTACACTTGCACAAACAGAGCTGGTTTTTTTATGATCAATTAAAGTGAAACTTCAAAGGTTGTTTTTCAGTGCATTTCTAATGAGTGCTTGTAAATGTTTTTTTTATTGAAGCAGCTTTGCCTGAAGCGCTCTTTGAAGCAGCTGGTTCCAATCTCCGCCCACTAGTGCTGCACCAGGATCTGAATCAAGGCAACCCTGATCTCCACACAGCAGAGAACTACAGTGCAGAAGCCTGGAAACAGAAAGAGCCAAATCCAACACAGTGAGTAACTTACAAATTCATATGTGCAGAATGAGGTTAGTAAAATCTTATCCTTTAGGATCTCAGTATTTTGATATTCTTAGAGGAGCGGTGTTTGTTGTAGTTTACTTTCCTGTTTCTTTGTTTTATTTGCCAGTTGTTAGAAACTGCTCTATATAACCCTTCATTTGTAACTTAAAGTTCTATATTATGCTAAAACAGGTTTTCAAACATATATATTAAAAAAAAACAATGTGTTAATTCATGAAGCTCATATTAGAACATGACTTAAAACATAATACCATTATCAATATGGTCTATTGTTAGAAATGCATGAATAACTTTAAGCTTTGGATCCAGTGTTTGTCACAGCTTGACAATTTTTAATGAATGTATTCATTAATGTAGCTTTCATTTGGTAAACTTGTATTTGTATTATTTTAATAAACTGGACATGCATTAAACATTGCAATGCTTTGAGCAACAACATAACTTGATGGAGCTGAATTCTTGTCATAAAAAATTTTAATAAAGTCCTAAATGTATTAGACAGCCCCTTTTGGTTTTATTCAAACATTGAAAAGCAAAATGAGAAAGCCACTTGTCATTCAATAAGTTAACAAATGTGCCTCAGGATGCTGAAAAGTTTCAGTGACAGCCTGAAAGTTGACTGTTGCCATGGTTATTTGGACAATTGGGAGGAGACTTCTGGGTATTAGGTTGATTTGCATACAGTATGTATTTTGGGAGTGGGGCAAAATATGTCATTTTTGACATCAGCCTCATAATTGATAATGCCTCATAACTGATGAGGCCCATCATTTCTGACATGATCGACTCCTTTATTACTCTTAAAATGCTACACATCATTTCCCTCTTATATTATTTTGATACTGTACTTCAGAATATGCCATGAAATATTTATTAAATGCTCCAGACTAAAAACGTGACTAAAACAGAACTAATTAAAGTAAGTATGTGATATTTTTCATCTACTCAGTCGGACTTCAGAGATTTAATGAGCAATATCTACCAAGTAGCAACAGCATGAAGGTAATATGAAGAAAAGTCGACCTGGACTTTCTAAACCTGGACTATGATTCAAACAACGCTATAAAATGGCTATTTCTAGAAAAAAGAAATTCCAGAAAATAAAGATATCAAAGTTTACAAACTGTATTTAAAAAAAAACTGCACTAAGTCTGGAATGCACCATTTTTTATTCTTTTTTTAGATATAGATAATGATCCATTGATTATCCCTTGCTGACCTGACTCCTTTAAATCATAACCCAGAAGACCTGAGGCTACATCCACAGGAAAGATGATTTTGTAAAGTATTCACTCAGGGCGTGAAGACTAATGCATGGAAAGAAAAAAATATATCTTTAGAAAATATGAAAATCATGTTTTATTCTATATTCCCTGAATAATTAATTTCTACTTTGCCTTGGTCATCACATAAAATCCCAATAACTTCAAATAAACCTATGATGTTTTAGTGATGTGACAATACACTTAGGTATAAAGTGGCATGAATATTCCTGTAAGGCTCTATAAGAACTGCGGTAAAAGATCATTTCGCAGAACTCATGGTGATGAGGACTTCCTCATTTTGTCATCTACCCAGTGGTGAACAGTTGTTGCGGTGAAGCAGAACATATGATCTAGCAGAAATAGATTAGTTTCATGATTATCACTTGTTATATTGTCATGTGATCCTAAGCTCCGTGGTTGAAATGTTTTCTCTCCTCTTTTTAGTTCTGCCGGCATCTTGACTCTTAATCCATTTCCTTTTATCGTTGACTCTTACATTTCGCAAAATGACCAAAACTGATACAGTTTCTCCTGCTTACATCGTATACAGCTTTTCCAGACAAAAGACATGACGTCTGAACCCCTCAGACCAGCTGATGCTTCTGCATCAGTGACCTTAGGAAGTTAAACAGTTGTTGCTGCTCACTTGTCCTTTTTAAGGCATGCATTCTGTAAGTGCTTTGCTCTGCACTGTGAAATACTTGGGGGTTTTTTGTGCACATGATCTGGTTCATATATTCTGCTGTCCCTGTTTGGCTTTTGTTAAAGTACGTTTGTCAATTTGTCGCATTTCTGAAAAATTAGATTAGAGATTAGATGAGATGAGCTTTATTGATCTCACAGCGAAGAAATTCACTCGTCACATATTGGCATAGAAGTTACAGAAGGTGCAAACAGGGAGGAAAAAGGTGCATTAAGAATAAGCAATATATATACAGTATATCCAGGTATATACAGTATATCAAGATAAATAGGATTAAGGATTAACTTCAGAGATGGTCTCACATTTACCACATCAATGTTGAAAACCTTCGAGGCTCTTTATTCTTCCTTCCATGGTCTAGACAGGGTTGTCTGAAGCTCTGCTGGGCTTTCTCATTTTTTGTTTTTATTTTATTTTTGGTGTTGTATCTTTATTATGATTATTCAAGGTATAAAAGTAATGAATATTGATTAAACATCCCTTATTAGATATGAAATGTCTTTTCAATTATTGCCATGCTGAATTGGGCCCTTTTTCACAATCCAAGCCAGCTGGCATGATGATATACAGCAGAGTATTGTCTGGAGATCCCAATAAATCTCCTGCATTATGACACTTCAAACCATCACTGCTCCTCTTCTGTGGCTTGTCTGTGTAAACTATCATCTCTATGTATTAAAACTCACCTGCACCCTACACAGACATGACAATCCTCTGCTTGCATGATCTGAGTGTTTCTTTTGGTCTCTGCACGCTCAGTTCCCCTCTTCATCTTAATCATTAGCAGCAGGGTTTTCTCTGCAGCAGCTCCACTACAAACAACTACTTTAAGTTTTCTTATAGTAGTTACTTTAAAGCAACAGGTGTTAAGATCTACAGAAAAGCTCATATTTATAAGCACCCTTAACAAAGTGGATAAAAGGCCTTAAAATAAATTCACGTTTAATCTCAGATGTATCAATGTATTAATTAGTGGAAAGAATCCTATAAAATACAACATTATATTCAACAAATGAGCGTTTCAATTAAAAAATCTAAATCTCTTGCTGGATCACTGAGTTTCCTTTTCTGGGTTTAAATATGAGTTTCTCTTTGGCCACTAGGTTGATGGGGATTTGTATTCATACTACCACCAAAGATAGTCAGCAGGATAATAAGGGAAGTTCAAATGTTTCCTAAGCTTAATGAGAACTGCAAAAAAGAGTGGCATGTTTTTAGCCTGATAAACCAGACTATATTTGAGATTAAATGTGTAAATTTGCAGGCAAAAAGGATTTTGGCCACTGGCGGATAGGGCTAGTTTATAGACTAGCATGTTGTGCTAAGATAAATTAAAAATAAATAACTAAATATAAATCACTAACTGTTTTTTTTTTATTATCTGCATGTAAATTAGTTGATTTGATAGAATACTGGCAAAAAAAAAAATGTTCATCCTACTATTCCAAATATAAAAAGCTGCAGTTTGGTCATTGCTAAACTGAAATGAATAATCCATGAGAGTGAATATTTGGAAAAGCTGTCATTTGCAGAGTACAGAGAAGAATCTGTGATGCTGTGGGCCTTGCTAGAGTAGAACGTCATGAGATGTTTCAATATACAAGGATCTTTTTAATACAAATCCGGTGGTTCCAGAAAACTTAAAATGCTTTTTTTTATTGGGTCTTTAAGAAGGATTATCGTACAAAATATACGGTCAAATTAAAACAGAAAAGTTTGGTTTGATTTAAAATCAAAGCCTTTGTAACTTGTTACCATGTCTTTTTTTTTTTTTTGTCTCTGAAAGGACGTAGGAAAAAAATCATGTCTTACTGGCAAAAGGAGATTAACAGGGTCTTAATGTTTAATTATTATGTTTTTTACTGAAATTTGACCAAATACTGTCCACTGAAGACCATGTCAGAAGCAGAGCAGCAGCATGTTATTAAACACTTTTTGAGAAAAGCTACATTGGAAACATTAAAAATACATTTCTATTCAAACAAGTAGATTCATATCTAAATTAATACCTTTATCATTATCATATTTATGGCTTCAGTAGAAATCTTATTTTTATTAAATTAAATGTTTTTAGTTTTTGGTGATGTAGATGACTAAAGGATGTGATTTTGTCTAGAAGTATGATTTCTATGTCTGCTAAAACCAACCTCAGTGACTCTATTTTGGCACAATTTAAGTATAATTGTCGACTTGTCACTGATTAACAAAATGAAAAACAAAGAAGTAAAAGTTTTATTTTTAGATCACTGTTACCTTCAGCCTCTTCCCACAGAATGAAAATAAAGAATAAAACAAAGAACTGATGAGAAGGTGTTTCTATAATGTGTCTACCAGGCCCACTGTTACCCTGACATGATCTCTGACCAGTATCCAAAAGCAAAACAACCTTAAAAAATACTGATAAAATTCTGATGAAATACAGATGATGAAAAGCTGATGTGTCTTAAACCTAAGAGCCAGAGAATTTCAGGCATTTTGTTTTTAGCCTCTGCTTGTGGAAACTTGGTCTCCTCCTCTGGACTGTGTTCTTATCTTTCAGCAGAAAGGCAGATGAGCTCATGAAGCGAAAGGTTTCAAAAGTGTAAAAAACAGGCCGGTCAACACAGGATTAGCTGATATTGGCATACTATAGTGAAGCCAGACATATTGGCTGATCTCTGTGCTCGTTTCTGTCTGAAACAGAGGAAGTCTAATGTGTTTAATAGTATGACATCTGCAGTCATACTATTAAATTCCTCCAGTTTCTCTAGTGCTGATATGTTAATATCTCAATAGGATATCTATCGCAGATCTCTGGTAGTTTTGAAACCCCAGCAGCATTTCTTAAACACATCTCTGTTAATGGTCATACATCTTTTGGTGTTTATTATTCTTAGACACAGCTGGAATCTTCTCCTCTAGAAACAACATCCTTGTTTTCACAGATGTATTGAGTTGGGATAGGCAGAGCAGGAAGGCCAATCAGGCACAGGTGTATGTCAGAAAAACAGGATTCTTTAATTTAACCCAAAATATAAAATGTAACAAGTACAAATAGGGAGCGAGAAAAGAGGTCAAAGGATCGAAAACTACTGAAAATATCTGATACAGAACAAGACTGACTCAAACAAACTGACCACACTTAATGAGACAAAGGGGAAATTAAACAGTGGCTGATCAGTCCACAAAAGAAACTCATGGAGCAAAACATACTTAACTAAACCAAATAAAGTGAAACCCTATTTCCCCCCTTTGCATTGATGTGATACGGTCCAAATCATCTCACCCCTTGGCCACCTGCTGGTTCCTCAGCCAAGGGACAGGAGCAACTGCAAAACTCAAATGGAAAATGAATTAAACACAATTATAACAAAACAATAATACAGTGTAATAGTGATGAATAAATTCTAAATAATGTGATTTCTCTGTAATGAAACCCTGTATACAACAATTAAATGACATAAATTGTGTTTAATGCCACATCTGTGTGGCTGTAAATACAGCAATTACATGAGCTAAAGATGATTTCTTGACTAAGTCAAATAACAACAAGATAATTCATTTTGTGTTGGGAAGGACTAATGTTGTGGTAGAAAGGATCGGAGGGGTGTACATTGAAGATCTTTATGTTTGAAATACAAAATGATTTACATCCAGACATGATAATGGGATAGGGAATTCATATAGAACAGAGAACTTAATGAGAAACAAAAGAGGTTATTTTATTGTGCTATTATGAAATATCATACAGAAATAAAAGCTTTCGTCCTTTGTGGAAAAAAAAGAAAAGTTTAATAGTTTTAGGGAGATTTTCTTGAAATCTTTAACATATAAAATAAAAAAAAGAAACACCAGCAAAGGAAAAAGAAAAACTGTCCTCTTTTTTCACCCAGACAGGGACTTATAATATATGCATTACCTCAGTATACTCTCACTGGAGGTGGAGAGGTTTATTTTGTAAGCTTCAAAGTAAAAGCAAAAATGTTTTGAGTGTCAAGATATTACAAAATGAATAAACTTTAAAGAACAGTTTGTATTTCAAGTTTGCCCTTTGAAATGACTGAAAACACATCCCTACTCATTTTTTTGTCTGTCTTTTATTCTTTGCTTCTTACATCAAAGACGAATTACCAATACTTCCAATTACCCATTTTTGTTTTTTGTCTGTTTTTTAGTGTCCAGAATGTAAACAAAAAATGCCCTCCATATTTAAAAAGATTTTAAGCCTTTCTAAATAGTAGTCTGATTTTGAGTATTAAAACTATAAATGTTTTTTTTTTTTTTATCAGTTTTAAAATAATTTTATATAAAGATTTAAAGTTTGAGCAGAGTTTTGTTTTGTAAAAAAACAAAACCAAACTGTAACGAATCAACAAATAAACACTGAATGGAGGAAGCAACAGTTAGATCCAAACGTGCTGTGTCTAGTTTGAATGGGTTACAGGAAAGGATGAGATCATCAGATGGATAAGAGACTGTAATTGACCTGCCCTATACAGTTATTGCCAAGATAATGTTGCCCTCCAAATTTTTTCTTGGTAAGTTGCAAATACACCCAAATTACTCTGCCTGAGTTTAGAAATGTTAAATAGAAAGTCTTCTGTTTTGAATTTACACCACAATCTCTAAATTCTGCTTGGAGTTTTAGTTCCACGTCCCTTAATCAACCAGAATTTTGTTATAAAACAAGTCACTTTTTGTGAAGTCACACCCAGAACATGTGTAAATGCTTTACCTCATTGAGTTTTGTTTGATGAACTAGTGACCTGCCTCATTGCTTTTTCCCCACAGATTTTTTTCTTCCTTTTTTATATAGTTTGGTACTGAAGAGATCAAAGTTATCCATCTAATGTGCACTCTTGAATTCAGTAATATATGTTTGGTTTATCAGCATGGATGTAATCTTAGTCAGTGTTTGCTTTTGACCTTTCATGTCCAAAGACTCTTTGCTGTTCAGCCTCAAAGGCTGAGATTTACCTTATTAATTAAATTATATCAAATGTTCTTTAAGCTATGGTAATGTAAACCCTCTTGTTTCCTTTTGATAAATAGTACAGAGGTCCTCATAAGGTTCAATGCTGAATGTTTAGAAAAAACACTTTTGTTTGAAGAATATATTGGAGATCTGCACTTTAAGTCAAAGAGATGGTTAGAAGAAGAGCAGAGTAGACAGTGGAGGTTCCTAAATAAATGGCTTCACAGGAAAGTTCCTACTTTGGCACCCATTGATCTAATGCTGCCCTGGACATCTGCTCATCTTAAGTGCCAGGTTTATTCATGCAGACATTCCTAACCCGACCCAAACAGTCACTGCTCTGAGATGATTCTGATATGGCTTATCAACATTAAGATTTTTTTTTTTTCATTCACTTTCTTTCTCCAACTTTGGATTAAACTCAGAATTAGAATTAGACCATCAAAAAGACCTCCCTCTTGACACTTTAACTGTATTTGAGTATTATATTTTTACACTATGACTTGGAATTATGAGAAATCCAGAGCGTAGATTAAAACCATAACCGTCATGTACAATGTGTTAGCGACGATGGATACCAAAAAGAGGTACTTAAACGGATTCCAGAAAAGAAAAAGAAAAGAAGAGCTGGTGGAAGAACGGAAAAAAACTTGTGATTGGGGTGTTGTACTTCACATGAGGCCCACCCAGATAATGATTCTTACGTGCCTATTATTGTGTCGTTACGCCATTGCTACATAGGCTGAAGACCTTAAAGCTACAATGTGAAATTTCAGCGATATCTAATGGTCAGGTTGCAGACTGCAGTAAAATGAACCACCATCCCACACTGCCTCTCCCCTCCAACATGACAGAGTCCTTCATGGTTAAAAATGGCTTCTGCAACATCGCATTACTGTACCTATCTTGTCAAGTGATGACGAGATTCATTTAGAGTAGATCGAAGCATTAAGCGTTTAAAAAAATGGTTTTAGTTTAACTTTAGTGCGATTTAACCAAGCGGACAAATTCGATCCTCCACTGTTCTGCCTCGATCCTCTATTGTTGGCCTTTAGTTAGCTCTGGTGAAGTGTAACCTCATGGGGGCCATCAGCTCTCTGTTTCGTAGCAGGCCTCTCCGAGCTGCCACTGTGCTCTTCAGCTTTCCTCCTGAGCTAATAGCGGTGAGCTGCCACTACTAGCTCTGCAGCTGTGGTTCCTTAGCTACAGGGGGCGGCCCTTGTTTTGGGCACACCAAAGCAATTACGGACTGATGGAGCGCAGCAGAAAGATGTAATTCTGCTCAGGAAAAACACAAAAATGAAACGACCGGCAATTCAAATTAGTCATCTTCATAATAACCAGGCGGTTGCCGATTATGTCCGTCGTAAATCTAGTTTACATGGATAATTTTATAAATAGTATAGTACTATTGTTCTAGTATAGTACTAGTCTGTGTAGGACTGGATATAGGCTTAACTTTCGAGCCTCTATTGTCAGCTCTGTGCTGCCGTAGTGCTGTCTGCCTCCACAAATGCAAACCCACTCCTATGTAACTACAAATAGCAATTTCTAAGGCAACACAAACAAAGATTGAGACACACACTACATGGATGATAATAGATAACTTACATATAGATTATATATAGGATTTATGCCAGTAAATCCCTGCATTTATTATACACCGTACCTTTAATGTTACAGATCAAGGCAAGTTGAAACAATTGAATAATCAGTATTTAATTCTGAAAGACAAACATAATTTTTTGACACTTAAGAAATCATATTACAAACTGTCATCAATTTAAATACTTGTAAGAATTATTCAAAATATTTTTCTTTTCTTTTTAACAGATATCATGGCTGTCTCACATGATGAGGACTACTACTACCATGAAAACATCAGCCTCAACTACAGCTATGAGGACTATCCAGCACTGTGTGAGAAGGGTGATATCCGATCTTTCGCTGCCTACTTCCTTCCCATCATGTACAGTCTGTGTTTAGTTGCAGGACTGACAGGAAACGTTCTGGTCCTGGCAGTATACGCTTACCACAAACGGCTAAAGACCATGACGGACACATTCCTGAGCCACTTGGCCGTGGCCGACTTGTTGCTTCTCTTTACGTTGCCTTTCTGGGCCGCAGATGCCGCCAGAGGCTGGGAGTTGGGGGACACCGTCTGTAAAATCGTGTCGGCCTGCTATACCTTGAACTTCAACTGCTGCATGTTGCTGATGGCCTGCATCAGCTTGGACCGCTACCTGGCGGTTCTCAGACTGCAGGGTGAAGCTGAAAGAGGGAGATTACAGAGGCTTTTTAACAGGAGGCACTGCTGGAAATGGTGCTTAGCTGTCTGGGGAACGGCCTCTCTTCTTGGTCTACCAGATTTAATCTTCTCAGAAGTATTGTGGACATCACATAGGAATGTCTGCGTGGCCATCTACCCTTCATCTATGGCTCGAAGTGCTAAAGGTATTCTGGAGGTGGCTGAGGTTCTACTGGGATTCCTCCTTCCTCTCCTGGTCATGGTGATCTGCTACTGGTCTGTTGGTCGAGCTCTGAAAAGCCTATCCATTGAGAGCAGGGGGAAGAAGTGGAGAGCTCTGCGGGTTCTCCTGATAGTAGTGGGGGTGTTTGTCATCACTCAGCTTCCATACAATGTGCTAAAACTGCACCGTGCCATGGATTTAGTGTACATATTTGTGACCCACTGTGGGACAAGCAAGGTGCTTGATCAAGCAGCCCAGGTGACGGAAAGCCTTGCACTTATTCACTGCTGCATTAACCCAATCCTTTACGCCTTTATGGGGTCCTCCTTCAGGCAGCACATGGTGAAAGTTGCTAAGAACTTTGGAGAGAAGAGAAGAAGGAGGCCACAAGGAAGGGATGAAGAGTTGGACATGTCGTTTAATTCTCACAGTGTAACTCTGGAGACAAACTCGTTCTCAGTTTAAGTTCATCCCATTGTTCTCCAACTGTTTTACTGGGTTACCTTTAATGGTCTTGAAAGTATATTGTGTCAACCATGCATGTAATTAGCCTGAAGAGTTAATCACCTGCCAACTGGAGCTACCTACACTACAGCCAAATGAGGAAACTCTTTAATCCAAAATGGACGTTGTTTCAAACAAAAAATGCTTTAAAGGAGAAGTTCGGTTTTTTACACTTTAAGCCCATTTTCTGTAGTGTCCAGGATGAAATCGAATGATCGACACCAAAAGTTTGACAATTGGTCCTGTCTCTGCTTTTTGGCTCATTTAGAATCACCCCCTGACTGCTTTAGAATGGCTAGCATAGAGCATGTCCGATAATGTCCTTAAAACAACCTTAAACGTTCTTTTTTTTTAAATATGCTACTCACCGGGTCGTCAGCGCTGTTCAATGACGTTCCAAAAAAAGTTTCGTAAAGAAAAAACGTTCCTGTAGTGTTTTATTTAGCATTTTGTAAATCCCATTGAGTTCTGTAGGAATAGTCAATATTCCGCTGCCACCGGAAACGGAAATGGGGCCTGTTTACACAGTTGTAGTCTTTTCGCTTCACTCTGCGTACTCCGACGTCGAGAATCAAGAATCCACCTTTCGTATTCCATTTTCAGAGTTTTTTTTAAAGTGTTTAACAGAGACGTAAGCACCTCGACGTCGGAGTACACAGAGTGAAGCGAAAAGACTACAACTGTGTAAACAGGCCCCATTTCCGTTTCCGGTGGCAGCTGAATATTGACTATTCCTACAGAACTCAATGGGATTTACAAAATGCTAAATAAAACACTACAGGAACGTTTTTTCTTCACGAAACTTTTTTTGGAACGTCATTGAACAGCGCTGACGACACGGTGAGTAGCATATTTTAAAAAAAGAACGTTTAAGGTTGTTTTAAGGACATTATCGGACATGCTCTATGCTAGCCATTCTAAAGCAGCCAGGGGTTGATTCTAAATGAGCCAAAAAGCAGAGACAGGACCAATTGTCAAACTTTTGGTGTCGATCATTCGGTTTCATCCTGGACACTACAGAAAATGGGCTTAAAGTGTAAAAAACCGAACTTCTCCTTTAAAGAGAAGCAGGAAAGAGAACATCTGAGAAATCAAAGATACACTGAAGTGGTTAACAATTAATAAAGAATGGATGCAGGTGGCTACCTCTGAATTTGAAATATGGGTCTGGAAAAACATTCATCCAATCGTTACATGTTCCATGCCAAAGGACAGAGGGATATGATGATGACTGATATTTTCTCTCTGCACTTCGAAGTCTGATTTGTCAATTCCAAGTTGGAATAGCAGCAGTAAAACATCCACACAAAAAAAAAGTGATCATCTATGGAAAGTTAACTAACAGTATTATAGGTTAATATCAGTGTATTACTTTACTTCATAACCTTTGATGTCTTATGTTACAAAAGAACATCTTTATTGATAAAAGCAGTAAAATTTTCTCTTTAGAAAAGAATCAATGAAACAGAAATGAAGAAATAAATATTTTAATAATATTGGATTTTTAGGTTTGTTGTGATAAGAAGCCTCTGACTTTCTAACTTAAAATCCTTGCCTAAATGGATATTTGTGAAAATGTTTTTTTTCCCCCAATTTCTTTCTCTTTATGGTTTTGTAAAAGTATTTATCAACCTAGAAATAAAAATTAATCTTGTTTTAATAGTTTTAAAATGTAAAATAATAGCAGTACTTCTTTTAAAACATATGAAAACAACTGATGTTATCTATTAAACTAGGTGAGTATTTCAATGTGGAATTGAATTAAAACATGAATTAATACAATATATGCACATGCTTTGATCGTCTCATAGATTTGTATCAGAATTAATTTCCTTCACATTGAAAAAACAGGTTATTACAAATAAGAACAAATATGGACTTTTGAAAATAAAACCTCTTCTTCCTAGACACTAATGTTGAGCGGGCTTTTAAAGCAACCTTCAGAGCTCTTTTCATTTTATAGACTTACAAACTGGCTTAGATTTCACCCGTTTCCCTCCAAAATGAAGCCGGTAAAGTGGTGCCGACTGCCAGTACCTTTTGTACATCTGTCAAAGAAAGCATTCCTGGATCAGTGGGATCTTAAACACTGTCAGCTGTAGTGGAATGCTTGGTTCTTCTTCCTGTAAAAAAAGGGAGTATTTCTCTCCACTGTTGCCACAAGCATGCTTGGTAGGAGGGTTGCTGTAGAGGAAATGACAATGCAAGCGTCTGTCCTCTGTCTTTATATGCCGTTTTAGAAGAAGTGAATACTGAAAGTCGGTAAGTTCATGCAAGCTGCTGGGTTTGTTTAGATGAAAGTCTTTTTGATAAAGTATAGTTTGATCTAATTTAATTAAGTGCCTTGAGATTACATTTTGTGAATTTGTACCATATAAACAGATTTACCTGAGCTGAATTGTTTTAATTTTATAAGAAATATTTATATTTTCAGTTGATTATAACAAGCTAACTTTCTAAACAAAAAGCTAGAGCCAATATATAGATATATTTTTGATCAAAGCATATCTGTAATTCCTTTTCTCTTGAGACTAGATTGATAAACATCCAAGCTTTCATCCCTTTAACTGCACAGCTAGTGTTCCCGTCTTTGCTGAAACATTATTTAGTTTAAACTATTTATATAGACATCCCAGTGCTTATATAAAGTTATGAGGGACATATTTCTCCTGGCTTTCACTGAGTTTAACCCTCTGATCAGCTCAAACAGTTCAAAGTACACATAAGATAAAACTCTTGAACTTTAGACAAACAAAACGAAGCTGTGTTTTATAGGAGAGTTATATTCTAGTAATTTATTGCTCATTCTAATCATATCCAGAGTGAGCAAATGCACCAGATGTCCTTGATGGTGCACATATGTACTTCTGCTAATCAAACACACATGCCTTCTCTGACTCTGAATAAAGCTTGGGCACCTTTTTTTGGTTTGCTGTAAACACATTTCTCTTTGCTGTTTTTTTTCCTATCTTTCAGTCAACTGTGATGCTCAGTTCTGCAAAAGAAAATAGCAATACTCAAGACAGGTTTGACATCCCAAGGGATCTGTATCTCATACCAGCATACCCTGATTGTCATTTCCTGGAATGCTTTTAACATCTGAAGACAAGCTTTCTGCAAACATTCGCCTCGAGTTTTCTTCCCAGCGAACACAAACAGCTACACATCAGAAACCACTTCTAGGAACCTCTCAGGATTTGAGGGCAAATCTTGATGCACCGCTGCAAAAATTAGAGCAAAGGTTTGGGAGTAGCAGCATGTTGTCAAACAGTAGAGGAACAACTTTTAAACATTCACTGTGGAATTCACCACCCAGAACTTACACAATTACAAACAAACAAAAAACTAGAAAAAAAAAAAAGGTTAAAAGCATCTGGTTATCTGCTGTGATCTGTGATTTTACATTTAGACAAGGGTTTGTTTGATCATCAAATACCTTGGATATTTAAACAGATGCAGGCCATTAACTCCCAGATGATTAGATTAGCAGAAAAGGTGTTTTTCATGCCAGATTCCCACTTTTGATCAAATGATGCTTCAAGTTGTTTGTGCACTCGGATATGGAAAACACCTGTCTGAAGCAAATACATCTTAAAAGTTCAAATTAATTAAGCCAAAAGTGAAGTAAGGGAATATCCATTTTTCCAACTGTTTGGGAGCAAACCGACCCCTGACATCACCATACTGACTGCTTTTTTTGCCAGGGACAGAAAGATTGTAGTAGGGGAAAACCAGTTTAATAAAAAAAATAGAAAGTGCAAACAATACATTACTTAGTTTAAAGAAAACACAGAAATTACTCTTCAGGTTTTGACTCATCAATTTAGAAAGATGGCAAACTCAGTTATTTAAATAAAGACATTTAAACTAGTTTCAGCAAAAAAATATCAGAACAATTGAGCCTTATATAATTAAATTACGTATAAAATTAATTATTTTAATATGCAATTGTGATATGACCAAAAGGCAGTGTCTGTAACAAACAACAGAAAACATTCTGGCTTTTTTAATGATACAGCAAAACAAATAAGCCAACACCTTCATTCTCTGCATGCCACATTTTTAAGAAACAGAACTGTGACAGAAGTGGTCAATTTGACATATAAAAAAAGAGGGTACATTCTCAAAATATACTCAACCTTGGTTGAAACACAAAAAGTAAACTAAATCCGCTCTGAATGAATACAAATTATTGTAAAAAAATAAACTGCAAAAAAACCCAACATGCAGTTGCATAAAATAAATGCATTTAGGCAATTGTTCTATTGTCAGAAGTTCACTGTAGTGTGTTGGGTGTACAGTTGGACAGTAAAGATGACCAGATATGTTTTTTAAAGGCAATAATGGCACACGAAGTAGCAGCTGTGCAATACTAACAAAACAGGAAATAATTCTTGGAGGTGTTTTTTATAAAGAGGGCAACAGAGTGTAGACAGGATGCTGAGAAACCATCAGAGATCAGTAATTGAGGATCTGCATATCAAACAGGTCACACACTCCTGCACCGTCATCCAGATTGAAGCTGTAGTCTATACCTGTATTTGTGGGAAAAAACACAAAACAAGGAATAAGAGACAATCTCAGTAAATTACAAACACACACATACCACATTTTTAAACAACAGGGGTGGAAATCTAATGACGTTTTCATTCCTGCACTGCAGATCTGCAATTTTCAAAATATCTTTCAGAGCTGTTTCCACACACTAAAACATGCCATCAACAGTAATGCTCACTAGATTTCTACCAAACATTTTCCAGCTCCTATTAGGTATAAATGCAGTTTATTCATTAAAGTCAAGTTTAAAAGTTGCTGAGAAGGTGAAAATAAGGGCCCTAGAACAAGTATCTGCTTGTTTGGCTACTGGATCAGCTCAGATGCATGTGGTACTGATAACAGCGCAATCAGTAATAAGGGTCATCCATCATTTCTGACAAATTCTCCCTACACATGCAGTCTGTTAAAGTTCCAGTTGTGAAAATGCATCCGTGGCAAAGAGCTTCTTTCTTTTAAGTGAAATACAGGCACGGATAAAACTAACTGTACAATTTAAAGCATTAAAAAATAGTTGTCAGTTTCTAAACATACAAGTTAATGAAAGCACAAAGTCCAAGATCAATGTCGGCAAAATATGCAGTCTTTGACTAAGAAGGTGCATCGTTCCTTTTAAAACGTGACTGCATGTGGAAAATTCCAGATTAATGCCATCTGTGTTGATAATCGGAGAGAATCTATTAAAAATGGACAAACCCTGTATGATCATTATGTCCAAAATTAAGGGCCTTTAAAAGAAAAAAAAAATACGGACACATACATTTTTCCCCCCGTTAAGGACGCTAAAGTAGAAGCATAAAATAAAGAGCTAATTAAAGGAAAGAAGCTGCGACAGTAAAGACTTTATGAACATCAAGGACGACAAAGAGGATTTGGAAAGCCATTTCATTTGCTACCATTTTTCCACAGCTGTCGAAGTACAAAGTCACCATAGTCAACTATTTGTACATTTTAAAGCACTTAATGTTTACCTCTACTGAAACATTATGGAGAAGGAAGTTTCATTCCTAAAAAGGACAAGGCACTGATTTAAAGACTATGGTATCTCTAAGCCATTTCCCAGTATTAGCTTGAAAAGCTGAATCCTGATTTTTTTTTTCCTTCTCTGTGAGCAATAACTGTAAATATATATATAGAAATGAATGGCTAAAGTTCAACAAGCTGCAAATACAACAGAGTCAGGGAATAACATGTTTAGCAGGTGTGGATGGACACCTTTAATGATCCAGGGTGTAATTATTGTGAGCCAACAGGCTATTTATCCTGACCACAACACTTATGTCATTACACTTGTAAATGCAGAGATCCAACTCATCTGCACTGAGCATTGTCCATCAACCTTGTTAAAGCTCATCTTTAATTTAAGAATTTTATGAGGCAGGTGTACTGATCCTCACCATTAGCAGACATTAGGTCATCAATAAGGTCAACAGCTCCTATGAGAGAATTAAGAAAATGGGTTTAAATTAAACACCAATTCATTTAAATTCAACACACTCAATAAAACAGGTTATATAGCTGATTATCAAGTCTCCAAGCAGTTCGTAACTCCAATAGGGGGCTGCTTTTCATTTAGCACAAGAACATGCAAGCAGCAGGCCCAATGGACAACAATCGTCCCAAACTAACATTTTGCCATTTATTTGCAGCATTGAAGCTGCTGAACAAATGGAGAGACTACCGGTACATGAAAACAAAGAACTATTCTTTATATGAGCAGTTTGTGGGTGAAATGTAACCAAATAACACTAGAAATTGGAGATGCTTTCTTACTATTTTAAAGGGTTCAACTTGGAGGGTGTAAAAATGACAGATTATGAGTGTAAACAGTTTAAGAAAGTTATTGAAAAAAAAAAAACCATCAAACTACCTTTAATATTTATTAGAGGAGTTCCCATATTATGAGCCTCACCATCTCTGTTGTTTCTCATGCTGCCGCCAGTGCTTAATCTTAGCAGGTGGCCAATATCCAGATCAGCCTGGTACTCTGGGTCCTCCACGTCTATTTGCTGCTGATCCAACACTACTGCTGCCACTGATTCACTCTGACACTCTGCAGAAAGTATGAGATATGAAGCAGAGATACTGTGAAAATGTCTCTTCTTTATGCTCTTAAAACTATTTTCTCTCTTTCATGTCCATCTGAAAAATCAATCTTCAACTAGTTTGCTAGTTAAGTTGAACAACGTCAACCACCAGCATTTAAAAAGAGCATAGTCTCCAACAATTGACATTTAGTCATGGTTTCCAGCACAATCTTGTGTAACCACAAGAGAGAATTACCAAAAACCTTTTCCGTTTCTACCAATTCCTCTTATTCCAGTAAATAAAAAAAATAAAAAAGTCTGCGTCAGTTTCACTTTAACAATCCGATCAGTTAATTGCAAAACTGTTGCATCAATCAACCCGTTAGTCATTGTAGAAATTGCCTACATTGTGAAAGCAAATTTGCATGACAGGAAGTGGGAAAATAATGCAATGAATCCTCTTAAATCTGGCTGCAACAGAATAGTTGATTCAGTTGTTATAAGTTTGTAATTAATAATCAATGTTACGTGTATTTGATGCTAAATGAGAGCATTAAGCACTAACTGCCAAGAAAAAAAAAAAAAAAAGATTTGAGCCTTTATAGGTAATTTCTTGTAGTAATGCTGAGTGTTGCTTAAGACAACATTATTATCATGCACATTTGTAATAGTTCCATCAGATATATAGGCCTTGCTATGGATCAGTCCAAGCAGAAATCTAGCCTCTGATACAGTGGGTAAAATAAGTATTGAACATACCACTGTTTTTCTCAGTAAATGTATTTCTTGATGTGCTATTGACATGACATTTTCACCACATTTCGGTAACAATGCAGTCCACAGATACGGAAAAAAAAAAAAAAAAAATCAAACCATAGATGCCAAGAAAGCGAGTTATGTGTAACAATGTGAAATGACACAGGGCAATGTTTTGAACACACTTACTGAAATTTATTTCATGCTTTGTACAAAAACATTTGTTGGCAATGACATCTTTAAAATGCCTCATGTATGGACAAATTAGTCACATGCATTGCTCAGGTGTGATTTTGACCCATTTTCCCGCACAATCTTGAAGGTTTCATAGGCCTCTTCTTTAAACTCTGATCTTTAATTCTTCCCATAGATTTTCTATTGGATTCAAGTCAGGTGATTGGCTGGGCCATTCTAGCAGCCTTCTCTCTGTGAAACCAATTGAGAGTTCCCTTGGCTGTGTGTTTGGGGCCATTGTCTTATTGAAATGTCAACCCAAGTACCATCTTCATCATCCTGGTAAATGGCAGATTTTCATCAAGAATGTCTCTGTACATTCTTCCATTCATACTTCAATTATTTGAAGTTTGCAAGTACCATATGCTGAAAACCCACCACACGCGATGATGCTCCCGTCCCCAAACTGCATTGTTATGGGGTTTTTGGGGGTGATGTGCAGTGTCATTTGACCTCCTAACATGATGTTTATTATGGCGTACAACGAGTTCAATTTTGTTCTTATCTAACCAGACTATATTCTCCCAGTATTTCATAGGCTTGTCTAAATGTTATGCAGCAAAACTTAAAACAAGCTTTTTCTTCAGGAAGGGAATCTTGCGTGATGAGCGTGCATACAGGCCATGGCAGTTCAGTGTATACACATTTTCTTTGAAACAATTGTACCTGCCAATTCCAGGTCTTTCTGAAGCTTTCCACAAGTGGTTTTTGGCTCTTGGACAACTCTTTACTCCTTTGTTAGAAATCTTTTAAGGAGCAAATGGATGTTATCAGTTTATGGTGAAAGGATGCCATTTTTACTTCCAGATTATTGTGTTCACTGGAACATTCAAAAGTCACTATGATTTGCAACAATAAGGTTGTGAAGGTCTTGAGAAAGCTCTTTACTTTTACCCATCATGAGATGTTTCTTGTGTGATACCAGAGACACCTTTTTATAGGCCATCATTTGGGAATGAACCAGCTGATATTAATATGCACTGACAAGGGGCAGAATGGCTTTCTAAATACTGAGAGTTTTCAACTGTCACGGCTTTCCATGCCTTTTTGCACATCTCGTTCTTCCCTTGTTCAATACTTTTTCCCTAAGACATTCCACAATATTACACATAACTTAATTTCTGGATGTCTGTGGTTTAATTTCTTTGTATGTGTGGACTGTATGGATTGTTACGGACATCTGGTGAAAATTTCATGTCAATAGCGCCTCTAGAAATGTATTTACTGTGACAATTTGCAGCGTTTTCAATACTTATTTTACCCACTGTATATAGGCAACATTCGGCACAGTCACCATTGTTGCCATCAACTATCTGATTAAAGTTAAAGGAATCTGCAGTAAGGGAAATCTCTAGAAAGACCTCAGTAGAGATCTGTTTTATGGTCCGAACTATACATCATTTTTAACATAGAGATCACTTTCATTTCTATTTTAAAATACAGCAACATGCATCATTTTTCCTGTTCTGGCAGGTGAAAATAAAATCCCCAACATGTGATATTCCTGTGAGAAAAGCTCCATTCAGATCAGATTTCGAGGTAAGTGCAAGAAACTCCAACCTTTGTGATTCAGTTTGATCATCCACATCATTAACATGCTTTAAAAACCAAACAGGCATAAGAGGTATAAGTCAGCAGCCCATCCCTAGTGCTGCTAAGCTAAGTTTATCACTAGACAAATAAAAACGTAATGTATTTTGACTCTCTAAATCTCTATGTCTCTCGCAGAACGACCTTCGAGTTCAAAAGCTCAGGTCATCCATTGAGGAAATGGTCCGAATCTTCTTTGCAAAGTAGCTGAAACTTTGACCGGTGGATGAAGTGTGTTGGCAAACAATTCAAGACTTAACCCAGTTTTAATTTGATTTGTTTAAGGTAACTAATCAGCAGGAGGTGCATTTCTATCTCAGTCTAACATTTTTCTGTAGTATTTCCCTACATTTAGCATGAACAGTCCTCCATTCGCTCTTACCAAATCTAATGAACAACCAAATCATCTTAACAGAACAATGCTGCCACTACCATGTTTCACCATTGGTTTGGTTCTTTCAGTGTTATTTTTCAAACAAATATATAATTATGCCTTGATTCAGTTTTGGTTCAAACCTCATTGTGGTATATGATGTGCAGAAAACTGCAAATTTGACCTCTAATGGCTTCCTAATCACCACTTTTCTGCATCAAGGCAACATTTATGAACTGTCTCACCACTGCACCTCTGCAGCTCCTCCAGAGTAACCATGGGCCTCTGATTAACGGTCTCCTTATCTGGCCTTTTTTAATGTTGGTGGATTGGGAGGTTATGACAGGTTTTCTACTTGTATCATACCATTCAAATGTTCAGATCTATTTATATATTACTGATTTCCAAATTTAAAAAGAAACCTTTTCAATCAGCTTATCCTCTTGTTAATGTCTCAATAATGTTATCCCTAGCTTCGGATTCCATTCTGCCGTTTTTTTCATAAATGTTTTCACACAGAACATCTGGATGTATGCTGATATTAAATTATACACAGTAGAGCTGGGCGATATGGCGATATATATCGTGAGGACGAGAGAAACATGTCTATCGTGACCTTTCTCCTCTATTTTTTCTATCGTGATAAACTTTTTTATTATTATTATTACTGCTAATATACATTTTAATATAATTTGTTAATATAACATTTTGCGTTTTTGCTATGCAAACTCTAAGTATATATAACGAAAAAAAAAGAGAATAAAAAGATAATGTGTAGAGAACGTGGTTTTGCGACACTACACCGCTTTACGTCACCCAGATGATGATGGGTAAAAAATAGGCGATGAAAGATTTTTTTCAACCCTGTCCATCTGACGGACTATGAAAACATAAAATGCAACATCAGTTGTGGTATATCGTGATATATATCGTTATCGTGATATAAAATAATCCATATCGTGATATAGTTTTTTTTCCATATCGCCCAGCCCTAATACACAGGTGGACTACATTTTCTAAGTGATGGACTGTGAGTTAATTTACTATATCAAGCTTTGTCCAAGCGTATAAGGGAAAAGGCAGCTAAAAACAAATGCTTCCATCGTGAACAATTTTCATTTCCCTGCCAGAGGTAGATCACAGAGAAAAAGAGGGTTAAATAATAATAAACCCCTGTTTTATATCAAATCCTTTCAAGCAATCTCCAAAGCTTGCACACAGCATGTAGCTCAGAGTCCAAACAATGCTATTACTTTTGCTTAAGTGAATAAAACCCAAAATAAATATTAAATAATCACCCATCTGCACATCACCCGTGGCGGAGGATGAAGTTAGCTCTTTATCGTTGTCTGGCAGCGCCATCTGCTGGTCTGAGGAGATAGAATCCTGGCTGCAGCAGGAGGACGAGGTGTTGGATGTAGTTGCAGCACCGTTTAGGAGGGGGTACTTCTGCAGGCTGACAGGCGCACTGGGAGGAGTTGGCATCAGACATATACCATCAGTGGGTGGTATAGGAAAGACCACAGGCATGCTGGAGTTGGAATCCCTGTTGATGAGCATCACTTGGATGGGAGCTGAGTGGCTGCGCATGTTCACTTGGTATTTCTTTTGGCCACTTTGAACCTGTAAAATAATGAATCCATACAATCTTATAACATCACATATACACGTGTGTGTGTGTATATGTGAGATAGATATATATACACACAGGACAAAACACCATTCATGCACACACTCACACCTGAGGAGAATTTAGAGAAGCCAATTAACCTAACTCATGTTTTTGGAATGTTGGAGGAGGCCGGAGTACCTGGAGAGAACCCATGCATGCTTAGGGAGAACATGCAAACCCTGTGCGAAAAGACCTGGTATCAACGCTGGGAATTGAACCCAGAACCTTCTTGCTGCAAGGCAAGACTGTGTGTGTGGGTGTATAAATATATATATATATATATATATATATACACATACACACACACACACAAAGAAACAGACTATTCAATGACTTTCGCAATTAAAGTTTGTAGCTAATCCCCTTGCAGTTTGTAGTTACATCTAACAGCTTTCAATGAAAGGTCTACCTCAGCATCACAGAAAACTAGAATAAACTTCATAAATAATAGACATTTAGTAAATGTTACTTTAAGTCCAGAGTACAAAAAATGTAATTCAAACTGAAAATGATGGATCAAACTACCATCTCAGGAAGAGGCACCTCCAGCTGGGTTCCAGAAGGAGCAACAACAGCCAGAAGGGTGTCTCCACTAAAAGAATCACAAATGTCTTCATGCGTCACAAATCTGTATGTAAGAGGTGTTAAGGAAACAGGAATAAATTCAACAGAAGATGGAGACAATAAACCGGAAAAAGAAGGCTGTAGGCTTTGTGCAATTCAGGATTAGCCTGGCTGCTGTTTCAGTGAGTGACAATAGTGATTGCATTAATAATCCTCTTTTTATACCCGTTCTCTGTTCAATAGGCAAACAATGCTCAGAGGTTTCGGCAAGGTTTTCTTTCATCCCAGATGAAGAAACTCAGCCACGGAATAATTCAAAGATAAATCTGCAAAACTAGGGAAACTTTTTTTGGAAATTAATTATATGAAAAGCCGCTTTCTCAACTGTAAACATTTGATTAAAAAAAAGTAAGGGTTTTCTTTTAATCCTCTTAGAAAATAGAAATGTCAAGGTGACAAATTAACATGTCTCAACAGCAAAAGGCAAGAAAAAGGATGAGCAAAAACAGTTTCATTTTTTAAATTAAGAGGTAAAAAAAGGAAAATGAAATTAATGGGAAAAAAACTAAAGGATATGCATGGATGTCTGGATCATGGTTGAGTTGTTCGATGTTCTCCTCCACCCAGGCCTTCTGGTCATCCAGCTCCTTCTCTTGAACCTCGAGCTCAGAGATTTGGGCTTTTAAAACTCTAATCTGCTCCAACACCTCCTCACTTTGGCTCCCTCTGTTCTTACCCCTAATTATTGGGGGGGTCAGACAATGTAGAGCAACTGTTTGTTAATAGGAATTTAAAAATCCAACAGCATCTAACACATAGTTACATTTCTAAGGTTGCTCTTTTATACATATAGACATAAAAATATTTTTTTCATACTTCCACTGGATGATGTTCTTGTTTTTCTTTTCAATTAGCCCAACACCTTCCAGGACGTTGGTGATGTCATAAATCCTCCTCTTCTGCTTCACTGCCAAGCTGTGTGCAGCCTGTTGATTCAAACACGTCACCATAAATCAGCCACAGCTAGCTGTCTCAAGCAAGAAGTTATCTGCTACACATAAACAATATACTAAAGTATTGAAACCTATGCAGGTGAAGGTGATTTTCAGTCATCAACGTCATAGTCAGTCCAAAAAAAAAAAAAAGTAAAAACAAAAACAAAAGAACACTGGACTTTGTTTCCAAGTGTGAAGACATTTCGCTTCCCATCCAGGAAGCTTTTTCAATTCAAAATGGCAGAAATAGCGTAGAGTCATAAAAAGCCTTGAACTCAAAAATTCTGACATTGTGACATTTTGAATTGGGAAACAAAACGTCTTCACACTTGGAAACAAAGCCCAGATTTTTTTTTTGTTTGTTTTTTTTTCTAACTTTTTTGGAAAGTATTGAACCCCCCCCCCCCCCCCCCCCCCCCCCAAAAAAAAAAATGATAATGCAACTTAAGAAGCATAATTTAAACATAAAAAACATGATATTTTTTTTTTGTAGGACAGATAGAAAGCATCTACTTGCAATGTAAACATTAACCAGGTTTGACAGAAAAAGAGGGAAAATTACTGACAGACAAAAACCAGAAAAAAAAAAAAAAAAAAAAAAAGAACAATAAACTGTCCCAGGTGACAAGTGAGGCTTATGCCAATAGTAAAACTAAAGTTTGACCCAGTAACCTAACATTTCTATTTAAAGCCACAATGCATAATACACACCTTAAAAGGATGCAGTTTAGAATCACAGGGAGGCTAAACCCAGAGGTGGGTAGAATACCCAAAATTTGTTCTCAAGCGTAACACCACTTCATCATTGGTTTAATGTAGTAATATTGAACAGCAGTCATTTAAGAAATTACTCAAGTGCGAATAAAAAAGGACCTGGTAAAAACAAGAATACTCAAGTACTGAATAACTCATAACATCTGATATTAAAAATTACAAATATAATCTAAAAAAATAACTAAATTTCAAGGTGAAAAAAAAGCCCACACTTTTCCAAACAATATTTATTTTGGTGTTACTTGTCAATATATACTAGCTTGATGTGAACATTTCTTTTCAAGCAAGCTGGTGTACAAAAAAAATGACTCATTGTGACAAAGATTATCTGCACGTCTTTGTCTGGAGAAGAAAAAGAAAAAAAGCAAGCTTGTGAATTTATGGATGGAGTAACCAAACAAGTAAAAATATTAAAACTGATCCTAAAACTTTTTTTTCAGTCAAAAACTTACTTGAATAACTAGAACTGAGTAAATTTAACTAGACAACCTCTGACTATAAATACACACATATATATACATATACATATATACACATATATATATATATATATATATATATATTAGTGCTGTCAAAATTATCGCGTTATTATCGCGTTAACGCGAGGCCATTTTAACGGCGATAATTTTTTTAACGTGAGATTAACGCTATGTGGTTTTATGGTACAATTTTCCAAGTACATCCCGCTGCAGCCTGCGGGAAGGCGGGGCTACTTTCCCCCAGTGTATGCATTTCTCATAGGCTTCAAGAGCGGAGCTCCTCAAGGAAAAAAGACGCTCATACACTGGGTGACGCTAGTGCCTTTTCTTTAAGCCCCACCACCAACAAACAAGTTGAGTGTCTGGTAACTAGTAGCAACCTGAAATACGCTGAGAAAACAGACTACTGAGGTCAAATGGAATCTGCTACGGCACGCTTGCTGTCACAGGTCGGTATCGTGTGTGTGTGTGGGTGGGTGTGTCTGTGTGTGGGTGGGTGGGTGTGTGTGTGTTCTCCTTTTTGTTAAGAGTCTGAAAAGTAACTTTCATAGACTACCTCCATCTAGTGATGTCCGTCTATTGATTTTGATGTATTGATTGAAAATTGTTCATTATTATCTTGGTTAATTAACATCTAATGTTAACTGTACTACATTTTATAGCAGTAGGGTAAAATGCTTGTCTTTGTTCAAAAGACTGTATTAACTGTAAAGACTGTCTTTTACATCAGCCTGTTTTCAGGGCCTTTTTTTTGGCTACATATTTGTTATTTTTTGCTACATGCCATCTTCTTGCCATATGTTTCTATGGCATAAATCAGTATCTGTGACCTGTTCTCATTTAAAAAAAAGAACATTGGCACAAACCTAGCCTGTATGTATTTTTTGTATGTCATCGAGAGTATTTAAATGATTTTCAATCAGAAAAAAAATGTGCGATTAAAATGCGATTAATCGCGAGTTAACTCAGGCATTGATGCGATTAATCGCGATTAAAAAAATTTAATCGATTGACAGCACTAATATATATATATATATATGTGTATACATATACATATATACACACATATATATATATATATATATATATATACACACACACACACACACACATACATACATACATACACACACACGTGTTTTGGGGGAAATTAAAATAGGAAAAATTATTGAAGAAAAAACCCATAGGATTAGTGATTAAGCCTTTTCTTTTTCAAAACAAATTCAGACCAACTTAAATGAAACACTTTTACTTTTTAATTTCAATACTTTAGTTCAGAGAGTTAAAAACATATCACAAAGAGTGATACTGTTCTAACATTTTTCTAACTGTTCAGGTTGATGATTACGGCTTCAGTTGATTAAAAAACTAAAACACACAGGTATACATAAAAGGATGTCAGTGCACTCGCTAATATAGCCACCCATCAATCATGGGCTCCTTTTGTCTGAATTTCTGCATAAATGTGGTGTGACATGGAGGCAATCAGCCCAGAAATCTGTTTTGGTTTTAGGAAAGCCCAGGTAGATTTTTTTATTTTTAGTGTGGCATTTTACATCCACTATGCAGGACAGTTTTCTGGAATAACACGTTTATACGGTCATTAAATCAAGTATTTGTGCTCTTGGCGATGTGGGTGAGTTCTTCAGGAAAAGGACGCTTTCGATAAAGCTTCTCATTGAGAGCAGGATGTAGTTTTAGAGATTTCTTGGTATAAAACTAGCTGGACTGAGGAAGACAGTCCTTTTTCATCCTCCTTGGATCAGGTAAGACAAATCTGATGCTATTGCTGCTTCAAAAATGACTTAACATACGGAATAGAAAAGTTAATGTCTTTGTATGATGGTGGCACACATATTCATTAAATACTTTTCACCTTTTCTACAACATGATTTTTTTCCTACTACGTCAGCTACGTTTGCAATAATGTTAATTTGTGGTTCATTGTCCTAGTAGAGGGTTTCAGTCATTGTGTAATGGACATCTGTCCAGACAGCATTTTATTATATGATAATAAAAGCCCCACTATGTCATTAAAGCATTGTTTCGTTAAATAGAGCATATTCAATTTGATGTATTTTTCTGAGAAATTCAATTTTGGGTTTTTATTAGCAATACGCCATACTTAAAATAAACAAATGCTGAAAATATATCTCATGTTTAATACAGAGAGGTGGGTAGTAGCAATATATAATTGCTAATGTTGTAACTTTAACAGTAAACATGAATATTTTTTGACCAAAAATGCATCACAAATGACCGTGTCTGGTGAGAATTCTATGTGCTGAACCTATTCAGAAATTTGCCGACCCAGTGAACAGTAAAATATGGGTACTATAGTATTTTTCATACCTCAATGTGTGCCTAGAGTAGGTATAGGTTTCAAATATTTCAGTTAGGTTATTTAACTTTATAATAAGTTATTCCAAGCATTTAAACCTTATCACAAGTTAAAAAAATATTAAGAGTTAAATCTCATTCAGAAATTAAAATTATTACCAAATACCTTCAAATAAACTTTTTACTTTTTAATTCTGCTTGGGCAAATACGTAACATATCATTAAGTAGATGAAATATAAAAGCAGGTTTTAGCCACTGTACTCCACTTTTGTAATGAATGCCAACAAATTTTTTAGAAGTGATTTCCTTTTATAGATCAACATTAAACTATTTTCTACCTGTAAAAGCCACCTCAATCATTTTGCTTCTTTAGAAAAAAAAAGCCAACAACACAGAAAATGTATATAAGGGTGGCCAGGCAATAATAATGTACACTGGGGGGGGGGTCGAAAGTAGATAGGCACCAGAACCTCAGGGTCAAGCCTAAGATGAGAATAACTATACTTTCCTATAGCCTTTGCTAACAAATAGACACATATATTTAAACATCCGTGCTTTCTAGACAAAAGGTACAGTGGATAAAATACTTTCAGGTTTGAGTTCTGGGGCAAACATCTTTTCCATTGCCATTACTTACCTATTTTGATTGATAATCATTCTGCTTAAAATTGATATTTACAAGTACTAATATCTACATAAATTGAGTATGTCAATGTCAAATTTATTTATACAGCACTTTAAAAACAGGTATAAAACTGCACCAAAGTGCTTTACAGGAAAGACTACAACACCAATGAACAAAACAAAATGTGAAACACTGCTTCAATTAAAAGCCAAAGAATAAAAAGAAGTTTTAAGAAGCGATTTAAAATGATCCAGGCTGTGGGCAGATTTAATTTGAAGAGGTAAATGGTTCCACAGAATTGGAGCAACAACAGAGAAGGCCCGATCTCCTTTCCTCCTAAGTCCAGTCCAACTAACTGTCAGTAATAGTTGATTATTTGAACGTAGAATTAGGATTTAATTTTTGCTAAAATCCGCAAGTGATAAAACCTTGACCTAACAACAGAGCTCACTTGTTTATCTAGCTTTAAACAGCTGTGAAAAGTAAAACCAAGATTAGCAGAGATCTGACAAAACCGAGCTAAAGAACCAAGAAACAGATCTGGATTTGTAGTATAAAGATTCTGACCCAATAATATAACTTGAGTTTTACTTTGATCAAGGTGAAGAAAGCTTTGTTCCATCCAAGATTTGACTTCATTATATAATAAGTTGTTATTAAAATAGCTATTCATCTATGATTTCATTGAAAGAAAAAGAGCATGAATTTTGTACTTATCTTTAATGTTAGTATATTGAAGTGTATAATTAAGCACAGTGTTTTTGTTGTCAAGAAATTGTGAATACATGAAAAAACGTAAGTAATATATGAAGAATTAAAATCAATATTCCACTTGAGTGTAATTGCTGCTGCCACCATCTGTAGGGTAGGGGTGGCCAACGATTGGCTAAGGGTGGCCATGGCCACCCCTGACCCCCATCTAGCTCCACCCCTGTGTGGCATAACAAAATCAATCTGTGCCATGTATTATATTCTGCTATGCATCAATCCTAACTTCACAAGATTCTTACTACACCTAAAGTCACAACACTAATGCACACAGCAACCCTTAGGTCTCATATTTTGTTGTAAAAAAAAAAAAAGTGATTGTGTTTGATTACACTTTGTAACAGAATTATTATTATTTTTTTTTTGTATAATTCTAGTTTTAATATTTTGCTTTTATATGAGCTAAACCAGGCTTGTCCAAAGTCTGTCCTGCATGTTTCAGAGGTCTCCCTGCTCCAGCGCAGCTGATTTTCATTAATAGCTGATTAGCAGAATCAAGGCAGGTAATCCTCTAAACCTGCGGCCTTTGAGGACAGCCTTCAGACATGCCTGATCTAAACCCAGTGAATACATCATTACACCTTTAGGATTGTCACTGACAGCCCTTTGTTAAAACTAGCAGCAAGAACTGGATAGCATAGCACCTACCAGGGTTTCTACAAGAAAACACAAAAAAATTAAAAATAAATTTAAAACGGGAAACGGTATCTCACAGTTTCACTGACCACTTTTAAGTCAAGAACGCCATCCTTAGCTTCTTGAAGTAGACTGACAAACTTCATCGTGAGTAGCCCCAAACTTTTTTCACGGCGACTAGAAGTCGAGCGTTCAGTCACAGACTTTTCCAAATCCATCTTCTTTTTACAGAAAAATAGGGAATCGCTTCTCTATGGGAAAACTATTTGAGTTTAACTGCAGATAACGGACATTCTCTCAGTTAACACCTGCTACCTAAACAGGACCCCGGTGAAAACTCGGGCTGGGGTCTTTTTAAATGAACGCACGTTACGTTAGGTTATGGTTGCCACGGCAACTCCTGCACGCCTCCTCTTGACCCCGCCCCTATGAATGGAGACGTTAACAAAAACGTATATGTTTTTAAATTAACAAGTAGCCTATTAACTTTTATAAAGTTACGAATGGCTGAAAGCTAACATTTTAAATGAAGGAATTGAAAGATGTTTCAGTATCACTTTAAGATGTCAGTTTTCCTCTACTTGGATTCCATCTAGCTTTGTTAAAAAAAAAAAAAAAAAGCTTTGTAAGATAACTTTTTGCTTAGACATGATTGTGATTAACTGAATATAATGTAAACTGAATCAGATTGCATGTAGATCAGATCATGACTAAATGGGAAAATTGTTGAAACTAACAGGGTTAATTTAAAGGGAATTAATTTATCTAGGACAATTGTAATTATAGTTGTAATCTTTTCTCCTATTCTGAAGAATATTTTAGTTAGATCTCCAACGTTATGCTTTTTTCTGCTTTTCCTCATAGGAGCTTCGCCTCATCTGTTCCTGCTTGGCTGTGAAACCACCCTGGAGAGAAATATCAGCTGTGTTGCTGCCATCGACAGCTTTATTTATAGATGTTCGAGATGGGCCTGTTTTTCAGTGTAGTCCTGTTTCTCTGACTGTGACTGGCTGGATGCGCTCTATAGATCCTCCGACATGGAAGCTGGCTCAGAGCTCGTCTGCCTGGCAGTGTGTTCCCTTTACAGTTGCTTTTTGGATCTCTGCCTTTCTGATCTCTGCTTCTGTCTCCTTGAACCTCAGCAGATGGCCGCTCACACTGAGCCTGGTTCTGCTGGACATTTCTTCCTGTTAAAAGGGGTTTTCCTCTCCATTGTCACCTACAAGCATGCTTAGTGTGAGGGATTGCATTCGAGTCAATGAGTCGATGCAATCAACTGGTTTTCCTTAAATAGAAAACTTTGAATCAATTTGACTGTATGATCTGGTGAACTGTAAAGGGCCTTGAGATGATGTGTGTTGTGAATTGCTGCTATAGAAATAAACTGAACTGAATTAATACATTAGTAAGTTCTAAAACATTTGCCACAGATTGACACCTTTTCAAAGTTTGCCCCAGGGGGACCACACCTGACGCATGATGCCTTACATTATAGTGCAGACTGTGGTAATTGTGGTCATTTTTACATCAAGCAAGTGTTTAAGCATATATACCAAAACATAATTTTTTTTTTCATAGGAAAATGGCACTTTCCCCAGGTGTGTAATAATAGGGCTATCTATCAATTCTGAACAGTATTTCGGATTTTTGTTGGACTTAAATGATTTCAGGTGAGTCTTGACCAACATGCATTCTACAAAATTGGACACATGAATCCGAACTGTCATCCTGTAAAATGCCTTCAAATACATTAGTAGTTAAATTGTAATATATTAAAAGATTGAATTGCTATAATTTCACTTTTCAGTGTATCACAACAGTGTCCTTTATATTCTCATATGAAGAAGAATTGTGTGTACCGTCATAAGAAAATTTATTTGACAAACCACATAAAAACAAAGACTATACAAATATACAAAAAATACAGTTGTATTTGTAAAAACACATTTAGAATAGAAACTTTCAAGGGGTTTGATATGGATATTTTATGTGTTAAAGTCGTTTAGGAAACTAGTGAGACGCTTCATTTTTTCCTCCATGACTCTCTTGTTAGCCTCCGTCTCCTCCAGTAGTTGACGCATCTCTTCCTCTACCTCATAAACCTGAAAAGAACCACATAGATATGTATTTGTCTATAAAACTAGACTGCTCCAAATTTTAAAGGGAAAACATAAACACAATGCATTTCCAAGTCAGATACATCTCTGTGAAATCAACCTGTGCAGTTAGGACGGCAAACTGATTGTTAATCAATTGAACCTGCTGTGGTGCGAATGGAACAGACAACCTGAAAATGAGACACACTCAGCAGGGTAATGTTTATGAAGATGCGGCTCTGCAGGTGGTGACCATGTTCTCATCATTTTCAGCTTTTTTCTGGTAACTTTTGCATTTTGTCAGTGCTCAGCACATCATGTCTCATTCCATCCACCAATGCCAAATTGCACCACAGTCTATCTAGAAGTTGATTGATGCTTAAATCTTGGTCTGGGAGGAGATTTCTCAATAAAACTAGTGCCATTGAACATTAGTTCAGTAATATGTGTGCCTAATTTTGACTTGTCTTAATTTCTATTGAAGTTAGATACACATTCAATGTGATTTTCCACTTTATTTTGAGTATTATTTCAAATCCATACCTCCAGTGGATAATAATTTTAATTTATATTGTTCCTTTTTAATAGGTAATAAATAATGATTTTAACTGGAATGTTTCATTTATTTGTTCTTTCATTTATTCAGAATTTCTAATTTTGTTATTGATTGATTCTGTGTAAATAAGATTGATTCTATTAAAAACAAGAACACTGGCACTCCTCTAACTATGATTGGTTTATCTCTGTAAGGTGAAGAAGCATCTAAGTTAGCCATAGAATCTGAGCTGGGTTAAAGCTGCTTTGAGCCAGTTGATCTTTCAGAGTTAGTAAAACTATTTTCTTCATCTAAGCCTCCAACTTGTATGTTAGATCCAGTTCCAACCAGGTTATTTAAGAAGTTACTCCCTTTGATCTCCTCCATTTTAGATGAGACTAACATACCCCTGTTACAGGGAGACGTGCCTCAGGCTTTTAAGGTTGCTGTAATTAAACCTTTACTTAAGAAACCGTCTCTTGACCCAGATGACTTGGTCAATTATAGACCTATATCCAGCATTTCTTTCTTTCTTTACATAAAATTTTTGAGAAAGTAGTTGCCGAACAAGTGTGTGATCACTTACACCAAAATTGATTTTTTTGAAGAGTTTCAGTCTGGCTTTAGAGCTCATCATAGCACTGAAACAGCTCTGGTGAAAGTCACTAATTATATCTCATGCCCTCAGATAATGGACTTGTATCTGTACCTGTCCTGTTAGAGTACAGTGCTGCATTTGACACAGGTAATCATAATATTCTTTTAGAAAGACTTGAATATTTTTTAAGAATTAAGGGAACAGCACTAGACTGGTTTAAATCTTATTTATCTTTCAGTTTGTTCACATTAATGATAAATCTTCCTCGTGCTCCAGGGTCACCTGTGGAGTACCACAGGGATCAAATGTAGGGACAATTCTCTTTATTATTTATATATACATACGTATATGCTCCTAATTGGTAGAATTATTAGACAGCGTGGGATTAATTTCCACTATCATGCTGATAATATTCAGCTATATCTGTCTATAAATCCAAATGAAGCTAACCCAATGCATAGATTACAGGCATGTTTTGAAGACATAAAAACCTGAATGACTTTTAACTTTCTGCTCCTGAAAGCAGACAAAACAGAATCATAGTCTTTGGATTGGAGTCTTTGAAAAAGAAGCTGATTAGTCTGTCACTTCATTTGGATGGGACTGAAATAAATTAAGCAAATCATTAATTCACAGCAGAGCTTTAAAAAGAAGGAAGAAAAGTAAAAAATCTACAGGGAAAAAGTGCTAAAATCAATTCAGTATGAACACAAGATGGTGTTCACAGAATTAAAGCTGGGAATTATTTGGATGGATGGATGAGTAAAAGTCCTTACTAACTAATGATAATAATAATAATAATCTAAGCATAAGCAAATTATAGATGGACTGACTGATTGAAATAAGTGGCGGGGAGATATTGGTCTGTTTTCTGTCACAGCTGCTGGAATCCAAAAGAATATATAAAATCAAGATTGATAACATTTTTATGGGTTTAAAAAAGGTTTTCACCTAGGACTTTTTTTTCTGTTTCATTAAAATATTTCTTACCCAGATGCCTTTTCTTTATTTGCATTTGGTAGAAATACGATTTTTTGTTCTCCCTTGATTAACTGGTGTGTGCAGGATGCACTACAGTAGAACTCACAAGCTCACTCCGAGTTAGGCAAATTGTAGCTCCTAACTCCTGTTCTAAGCATCTATCCCTTCACCTTTTGAGAGGTCAAAAGAAGGACCACTAACCCAACTCTAAACCACTGTGCCTTATCTGGATCATGTGGGAAAAAATAACATTTTTACCCTCAGATTTGCTTGTTCTATTTGCTTCTCCTTTTCATTAGCCATCCGCAGCAGCTCTGCTTGATGTGCAGCTTGGACAGACTCCAGTTGTCGACGAAAAGCATCATCCACACAGCGCAGCTTGTCAACTGCAGCTCTGTATAGGAACATTAACACCAAATAATGCATGACAGCTACCAGACCTAATGTTTTAAATTAAAATAGCACCAAATAAAAGGGTTGGACTTTCTGGCTGAGTTGCAACAGAAAAACTATATTTCATGCTATAATATCCCCTTCTTCTTTACAGCAGAATATAAGCTCCGAAAACAATAGTGATTGTGGGATATTGTCTAAATGTTTCTACTTTGCTCTCTGTGCTGGCCTTTTATTAACCAAATAAAAATTATGGTGATTTATTTTACACGGCTCAAAGGTATAGTGGAGGATTTTCGCAATTTTTTGAAAAGACCTGCCCTCTCCACTTAAAAAAAAAATGCACATACACAACCCTGTAACCGCTCGAGAGCATGCATAAGCCAATTTCTCCTCGTGCACGCTCCGTTTAAAAGTTGCTGTTTGCATCGCTCATACAAGCTTACTTTCCAAAAGATTTGAAATGTTTCCACTATGTCAGACTCCCCACTGGAAAGTAAAAATGGGGACGAGCAGGTAGGACGGTCTTACGTAAACATATCACCAGAATGATTGACAATTAGGAGCACCACTTATTTTGATGATCCACAAGGAAAAATAACATCCTTCACTATACCTTTATACCTAAATACTCCACATAATTTACTATAACTGCAAATAAAATAATCATTACAAGTGCTTTGCAGATGCATAACAGAATTGTACAGAAATCTGCTGTGGTTACTTGTGTGCCTCTGATGCTTTATCCTTTTCCTCCAGCAGCTGGCGCTCCTTAGAATCAAAGTTTTCCTTCATTTGCTTCACTTGGCTTTCTAGTTGTGTTAGCAGCTCAGCTTTCTCCTGCCACTTCTTGTTTGA